CCCTCTCCTTTCTTCTCCTTTCTCTCTCCTTCTGTCTCTCTTACTCTCTCCATCTGTTTCTGTTTCTATCTCTCCCTCTATTTTTCGTTCTTTCTCTCTCTCTTTCTCTTTCTCACTTTCTCTTTCACCTTCTCTTTTTCTTTCTCTCTTTCTTTCTTTCTCTCTCTTCTCTCTCTCTCTCTCTCTCTCTCTCTCTCTCTCTCTCTCTCTCTCTCTCTCTCTACTCTCTCTCTCTCTCTCTCTCTCGTTCTCGTTCTCGTTCTCGTTCTCTCTCGCTCTCGCTCTCACGCTCTCGCTCTCGTCTCTCTCTCTCCGCTCTCTCTCTGCTCTCTCTCTCTCTCCCTCTCTCTCCTCTCGCTCTCTCTCTCTCTTCTCTATCGCTCTCTCGCTCTCTCTCGCTCTCTCGCTCTCTCGCTCTCTCGCTCTCTCGCTCGCTCTTCGCTCTCTCGTCGCTCTCTCTCGCTCTCTCGCTCTCTCGCTCTGCTTCCTCGCTCTCTCTCGCCTCTCGCTCTCGGCTCCTCTCTCGTCGCTCTCGTTCTCTCGCTCTCTCGCTCTCGTTCTCTTCTCTTCTCTCGTTCTCTCTCTCGCTTATCTCTCTTGCTTCGTTCTCTCTCTTCTCTTGCTCTCGTTCTCTCTCTCCTTGCTACTCGTTCTCTCTCTCTCTTGCTCTCTTCTCTCTCTCCTCTTGCTTCTCGTTTCTCCTCCCTCTTCTTCTCTCCTCTCCTCTCTCTCTCTCTCTCTCTCTCTCTCTCTCTCTCCTCTCCTCTCTCCTCTCTCTCTCTCTCTCTCTCTCTCTCTCTCTCTCGTCTCTCCTCTCTCTCTCTCTCTCTCCTTCCTCTTCTATCTATCTCTCTCTTCTCTTCTCTTCTCTCTTTCTCTTTCTCTTTCTCTCTCTCTTCTCTTCTCTCTCTCTCTCTTCTCTCTCTCTCTCTCTCTCTCTCTCTCTCTCTCTCTCTCTCTCCTCTCTTCTCTCTCTCTCTCTCTCTCTCTCTCTCTCTCTCTCTCTCCTGCTCTCTTCCTCTCTCTCCTCTCCTTCTTCTATCTATCTATCTCTTCTTTTCTCTTTTCTCTCTCTCTCTTCCTCTTCTCTCTTCTCTCTCTCTCCTCTCTCTCTCTCTCTCTCTCTCTCTCTCTCTCTCTCTCTCTCTCTCTCTCTCTCTTCTCTTCTCTCTCTCTCCTCTCTTCTCTCTCTCTTTCTTTTCCTTTCTTTCTTTCTCTCTCTCTTCTCTCTCTTTCTTTCTCTCTCTCTCTCTCTCTTTCTGTGTCTCTCTATCCTTTCTCCTTTCCTTTTCCTCTCCTTTCTCTTCTCTTCCTTTCTCTTTCTATTTCTCTCTCCCTTTCTCTTTCTCTCTTTCTCTCTCTCCCATTTCTCTTTCCTCTTCCTCTCTCCGCTTTTTTCTTTCTTATTTCTTTTTCCTCTTTCTCTTTCTTTTTCTCTTTCTCTTTAACCTTTCCCTTTCCTCTCTTCATCTCTTTCTTCTTCTTCTCTCTTTCTCTTTCTCTCTCCATTTCTCTTTCTCTCTCTCTTTTCTTTTTCTCGTCTGTCTTTCGCTTTCCCTTACATCCGTCTTTCGCTTTCTCTCTCTCTTTTTTTCACTTTCTCATCTCCTTTCTCTTCTTCTTCCTCTCCTCTCTCCTCTCTCTCTCTTCTCTCTCTCTCTCTCTCTCTTCTCTCTCTCTTCCTCATCTCCTTCTCTCTCTCCTCCTCTCTCTCTATCTATACTATCTATCTATCTTTAATTTTTATATTTTATCTTTATCTTTTATCTTTAACCTTTTCCCTCTCTCTTTCTCTTTTCTCTCTTTTTCTTTTACTTCGCTTTCTTTCTCTTTTTTCTTCTCTCTTTTCTCTTTTTCCTCTTTCTCTTCTCCTTCTCCCTCTTCCCTTATCTCTCTCACTTTCTCTTTCTCTCTCCTCTCTTTCCTTCTCTTTCGCTGTCCCCCTTTTCCTCCCTCTCTCTCTCTCTTTCGCTTTCCCTCCTCGCCTCGCACTCTCCCCTACTTCTCATCATCCTTCTCTCCCTCTCTCTCCTCCTCTCTCCTCTCCTCTCTCCCTCTCTCCTCTCTCCTCTCTTCATCCTCTCTTCCTCTCTTCTCTCTCCCTCTCTCCTCTCTCCTCTCTCCTCTCTCTCTCTCTCTCTCTCTCTCTCTCTCTCTCTCTCCTCTCTCTCTCTCTCTCTCTCTCACTTTCCCCACGCTTTCTCACACCCTCTTCCCTCTCATCCCCTCTCCCCTTCTTTCTTTCTCTTTCTCTCTCCTTCTGGTTCTCCTTATCTCTCTCCATTGTTTCTGTTTCTATCTCTCCCCCCTTCTATTTTTCGTTCTTTCTCTCTCTCTTCTCCTTTCCTCACACGTTTCTCTTTCCAACCCTTCTCCTTTTTTTTCTTCTCTCTTTCTCTCTCTCCTCTCTCTCTCTCTCTCTCTCTCTCCTCTCTCTCTCTCCATCTCTCTCTCTCCTCCTCTCTCTCTCTCTCCTCCTCTCCTCTCTCGTTCTCGTTCT